AATGTCTCAGTGAAGAGCTGTCTCTTAGCTACAACGTTGTGATTAAGTGTTAAACTAAGCATGATAAAATTATACACAGACATAGAAAATGTTTTTTGTGTGAGCAAAGAAAGTTGTTCTAGGAAGCCAACATATTTTCTTTGTTGACAGTCACATCTCTGTAACAGTGCTTTTGTGGTTTTTGTGCTCAAAGTAAAGATGTGACGTGAACAGGAGATGTGGCTGCTACGCTGTTGCTGTATTTGTACTGAGAAGAAGTACAAATGTTTGATATCATTTTATTTGTTTAGCTTGAAAAGAAGTGGCTGTAAATAAAGCTAGCATTTTGCCTTGTTTCTTTTTTGTTGTAAATGAACTTTTTGTATGTCTTTCTTTTTTGTATAAAACTTAGAGAAAACATGTTTTAAAAATATTGAAATATTGAAACTGGACAAATAATATGATATCATTTTATTTGTTTAGCCTTTGTTTAGACATCAGTCTTTTGGTGGGTTTTTATTTTTGTTTGTTCTCTTATTATAATTTTTTTTACCAAACTGGGAGCATCTAATGATGTGCCAAATAAAGTGGCAAAAATATCTTCATTATTTTGTGTTATTTGGATAAGGATGTCAATTTGGTTCATAATTGTCACAGATGAAGGTCGGATCCAATTTTATGACCAATTAAAATTTTCATACACTTTTTTCTGCTGCTGTACTAAATTGCACACAGAGGTGAAGCTCGTGTGACATTTATTGTGGGAGTATGGAAATTTTGCATACACATCACATACTTTCTAATAATGTTTCCCTAATAGTGCCTGAATCACTGCAGGTTAAGCAACTGACCACTCAGCAGTCAGATGAAGAAATATGGTAAACTGGAATATAAAAACAGCGAACCTGTACAGCTCGAGGAAACTCACTATCCAGATTTTCCAAGTTTTTGCTGCTGCAAACAACCTTTTCTGTTTCTTTCTCTGAGGATATAGTACATAACTCCTAATGATATCTTCTTCCATGATGATTTATCCTCAAAAAAATGGTTTTCAGTCTCCCTAACTGAAACTGGACAACATGTGAAGTCTGAATGCAAAGACAGCTCACAAGATCTCGTCTCTGTAGACAGACTTCCACGTGCCATGCTGATTTGTCATGTGGCTCATTTCTCTTTGTTGTTTCAGGTGATGTTGGCAAAAGATGTAGTTAACAAATCATCTTTTTTGATAGATACATTGGGTAAAAATATAAGGATTATTCTTATTTAATCATTTAAATCTTATTTAAATACAAATAATTCCTTTATAATAATAATAATAATAATAATAATAATAATAATAATAATAATA